CATAATACCGATTATGTCACCAGATAGAGGACACTCTAACGGACACGACAGAATAGATTTATGAGAGCGCGCGCACTACTTATTGCTGATTTTACCCCCTCTTTCTTATCCGCCAGGTACATGATATTGATACTGTCGTGTCCGTTAGAGTGTCCTCTATCTGGTGATATCATCGGTATTATGATACGCGGCCGTATTTGGCTGCAAATCGGTCATTAATAGATTTTTGAGGGCGCGCGCACTACTTATTGCTTATTTTACCCCCTCTTTCTTATCCGCCAGGTACATGATCTTGATACTGTCGTGTCCGTTAAAGTGTCCTCTATCTGGTGACATAATCGGTATTATGATACGCGGCCGTATTTTGCCGCAAATCGGCAAGCAATAGATTTATGAGGGCGCGCGCACTACTTATTGCTGATTTTACCCCCTCTTTCTTATCCGCCAGGTACATGATATTGATACTGTCGTGTCCGTTAGAGTGTCCTCTATCTGGTGATATCTTCGGTATTATGATACGCGGCCGTATTTGGCCGCAAATCGGTCATTAATAGATTTTTGAGGGCGCGCGCACTACTTATTGCTGATTTTACCCCCTCTTTCTTATTCGCCAGGTACATGATATTGATACTGTCGTGTCCGTTAAAGTGTCCTCTATCTGGTGACATTATCGGTTTCATGTTACGCGGTCGTATTTTGCCGCAAATCGGCCAGCAATAGATTTTTCGGGCGCGCGCACTACTTATGGCTGGAGTTATTGCCAGGTTCACACAAGTTCAAAAATCAACCAAGGGGGGACTAACTTATTTTGGGACACCCTGTATAACTAACCGTATTAAAATTGATAATATCCGGTATTTAAATTGAATAATATATCAAGAGGTTCTCTGCGGAACTGTACCTAAATTTTTTCGGGATGTGAAATATCATAGGCCTTAGGCCTAAATAGGCCTAGGCCTAGCAACTTAGAGGGCACCGACCTAAAATAATAGTTTCCTTCCCTGAAAATACCAAGCAATATATTTGGGCAGATGTCTTCTCTACATTAGCATGCAACTGAGTCCAGTTGTAACCAATGCCTAAATTTAATACATCATTGAAATTTTATGACAAATTGGCCGGCTTTTAAGTCTAGCTAGACCCAAGATATATTTAACCTAAAAGCGAAATGCGTTTACCCTTTAGAGACTTGAAGAATATGGAGTGCGTTTCCTTGATTGCTAAATTATCAAGAAGGACTAGCGTTTCTCCCTCACAATTAGCTAAATAAAAAACACTGAACAAAACCAAATTGAAAACACATAAACTTGACTGCTTGGAGGCCATTTTATTGATTACGGCTCGGCTTCAGAGAGGCGTCGGCAAATCAAAACTCAAAACCAAAACACAACACAACACAAGTCGAACGTCACTACATCAAACACGACGACAGAAAAAAATATACGAACCAGAGTGCGACAACACACCAACCAACCACGCACAGTACCTGGAATAATTTTACGATAAGGGAAAGGGACATGCATAGGTGCATAGGTCATGGTGACGTCAACGGATTGTAAAGTGGATTTAAACCATAGTCATATAAAAAAGTAGTGAGTATATGATGTGCATTCAGTATTTTTTAATAATTATTATATACTTCCCAACGGTATAGACGATTTACTAGAAGATAATACACGATGGATATTTCTACAGATAGTGATGATTAAAACAATAAAAAAACTGCCAATGATAAGTAAAAAAATATTAGTAATACTAGTTGAGGATAACTTGATCATACTGCCTATATTTATTTATCCTTCCAACTTGTTCAAAGATATTCGACCTTTGATTGCCTTCATTCTTGAGCTTAAAGGTTTGTAATAACTACCCTACGTAACCAGGTCTTAGGAAATATACTATTACAGAAAGTCTGAATCGCCCACAACCTTACCGACAGCACCAACAGTTGCATGGGTTGTCCCATGAGATTGATCTCCCAAAGGAAGAGAAGAGCTCCCTAGACGGTCACATCTAATTGCTTTGCTCACCACTGCCTCAGATGCCACGAACGAAAAGTAGCCGTATCGTCAGGTAGTACCACCAATATAGGGGTACCAATGTTTAGAACGGTAGTAGCACCAATAGGGGTGCCCGTGCCCGGTTCGTACGGAAGTACTGACATTTTTCTAAATTCAAATGAATTTATATTTAGGTTTCTCACCTCTCAGGTGGTAAGTGTACTTTTTTACAGCTTTATCTATTTGTGTACAGAAATATTTTGAGTATATCGATGGTTAGAAGCACACATGTAGTATGTCCATTTTTTTTGTAAAATGAGATACCGCTACCACTGAATTGGTGGAGTCTTCATCTTTACAACTGCACACTCGTTATATGTCCAATATAACCCAAAAATTTTAAATAAATAACAAAAGAAAATACAGAGTCTTGAGTATTGACTCATTATAAAGTGCACACCTGTGTTATGTCCTTAAGTTTTACAGAGTAATAGTAGCTTTATTACTGGGTATCTTGGTTTGTGTGCACACACATCTTATGTCCGGACGTAAAACTCTTGTGCAGAAGAATATGTTGTTGTGTTGCTCACAGGGTATTACACAACTGGACATGGAACTGTTGTGCAGTAAGATTTTATTCCTCTGTGGTCAAGCAGCTGATTGTAAGTACATACCAGATTTATTTTTATGCACACATGCCACATGTCCGGGACATAAAACTGTTGTGCAGAATACGCTTGTACTTTAATTCCAACAGTTCGTTAAACATCTGGACATGGAACTGTTGTGCAGTAAGATTTTATTCTTCTATGTTGGCTTTATCAGTTTTTAAAGAAAGGATTGTTTAAAAATGGATCCTAAAAGTCGAGGATTGAAAATGTTGGAGATTTTAAAGCAGAAAACAGATGGAAATGCTCATCACAAACTATTTACAAAGGTGGAAAATATTTCAGCTTTGCTATGCTCCCCTACAGGTAAGCCAGAAGTGCTAAAAAGAAACACAGAAATGTATGTCAAAAGTTCCTTTGTGCCTTATTTCAGATAAGCACTCAAATAATTTAACTGGCTTTGGAAAAAACATCTTCAAGTAGAGTATTTTTATGAGAAGATGGTAGGAAAGGCAGGCTCGTCCCAAATGCTTCAAAGCCTGAGGAAATAGAACATGTTAAAAACACATAGACAGTTTCCAAGGATGGAGTCGCACTATTGTAGGAAGGACTAAAAAAAACTCTGTCTCTCTCCAGAGTTAAATGTTTCTGAACTTTACATATAGTATGTGACGAGTTTGCACAAAGGAAAACGTAAATCCTGTAAAAAATGGTGTGTTTCATTCAGTTTTCAAATCCTATGATCCTCCCCTGACAACATTTGTCCCTAAAAAAGATCAATGTTCCAAATGTAACCAGTATTGTGCTTCAGTATCGGGCTGCTGAAGATAAAACTAAATTTGGTGAGAACTACGAAACACATGCAAGGCGAAAAACAGAAGCAATGGACATGAAGAAGAAAGACATGAACTCTAAAGAAAAAGATCAAGTAACAGCTACTTTTGATTTACAAGCTGTGTTTATGGTACCATTTGCTGGGGACTGTAAAATTTACTATAAACGGAAACTTTCTGTTTACAATTTCACAATTTTAGATTCTAATTCAGATGGATTCTGTCATGTATGGGACAAGAGGAATGGAATGAATGGTTCAAGTTAAATCCGTACAGGCCTTATAATATACATGAAAACCCTACCTACTCATTTCAAACATGTTACAACCTATTCTGACACATGTGGAGGGCAAAACAGAAATCAGTTCATAGGCTCTGCAATGTTGTATATTGTAAATAAGACAAACATTGAAAGAAAATGTAGATATGAAGTACATGGAACCTGGCCACACGTACTTTGAAGCAGATTCCATGCACTCTACAATTGAGAGAGCACGTAAACACAAAAAGATTTACACGACTGAGGAATGGGGTGTACTTCTTGAGATGTCTAGGAAAAAACCCAAACCTTACAATGTTAAAATTCGAAAATATACTGTAATGACATTTATGATCTAACAAGCCTAGGCAAACTTGCCATCCAAAATAGGACAATCAATATCAAAAGAAAAACAGTTAATTGGTTGAAATTGAAATGGCTGAAGTTTGACAATTAATTGATTAAAATAAATTAAATTGATTGTAAATTAATCAGTAAATTAATTGATTACTGATTGATTGGTTATAAAATATAAATTCAAAATTATTTTTTAACTTTCATGCTAAAATAAATGTCATAATTATTCTGCAATGAATTGTGTAAAACTGGCAAACCAGCCCTTTAATCTCTGTTATAGATTTAATATTACGTTTTTTTTCTACTGTTTTAGTCACATGTTTTATTTTTACTAACAGGGTACTTGCTATTAATGATTAGTAATTGAAAGTGTCATATGGTAAAATAGAAGTCTTGTTTACGTTCAAAAAAGAACAGGAGTTATCCTAACTATTAATTTTAAACAATCTCTTTTTAGACACTTTGTGTTATGCACAGATGTTTTATGTCCGTGGTTCCAGGTTTTGCTTAGTGCACAAGAGTTACATGTCCGACTTCTTCCAAAATATAATTTAATTTCTCTCAAAGTAGACTAAATAACGGTAAACAACTACTTAAAACATAAAATATATTAAATAGGCATTCATATTTTACCCTAGTATATTAAGTACAATTAAGGATTTTAAAATAATGTTAGAAACAAAACTTCTTTTTGCGTTTCTCGAAAGTTTGGTAAAATGGACATATCATACGTGTGTTTCTAACCATCGATATTATCAATCCAGATAGCGTTAATTGGTCTTATGGTATTTTCATTTTATTTCATTTATGATATACAAAAGCTATTTTGTAAAATGTACAAATGTATATATATATAAATTTAATACATATACCAAAGAAATGACTTTCGACGTACGATACTCTATGTTTAGAAATGTCAAAAGTTGAGCGATGGTGCGTAAAAATGGCTGCGTCCACGACCACTGTTGTCTGTTGTTAATGATGTACACGTATTATTGGTTTAATTAGCTAGATTTTAGTTACTTTAAGCATACCTTTTTAAGTTTTCTATCATCATGGATGAAACACCATTTTTGGTATTACTTGCTTTCGTCATGTTAGCTGGAAGCTATTTCGCAGGATCTATTCCTTTGGTTATGACTCTCTCTGAGGTAAGGTTATATTTACATTTTATCTCAATTTTAACATATAAATTAAAAACTAAGTATTCTAGATCCAAATTAATTTTGTGTATGAATATCAATTACAGATACGATTCTTCCTTATTTCTTAACAATAAGTTTAAAGACTGGCGAACCATAAGTAGGCCTAGGCCTAAATCAGTAAATAGGGATGAGCATCTATATATCACCATCGATATCGATAGGGAATGAGAATCATAGATGTTCACCGCCGATCGTAACATCGATATCAAACATCGATGCACACTTGATAGCTTCATCACAAAATCATCAATATTTTGAGGGCAAAAAGCATCAAGAATCAATTTTTCTCTAAACTTAAGTTAATTTAAAGCTTTTTGCCTGCTTTCTGCCTCAGCTTAAAGACAGAGATAGTTAGCCTTCTACAAGTTAGTTATTCTAGATTGGGAGTTTCTCTTTCACTATTTAGCAAGTCTTCATACTTAGGTATCGGTCTCTTTTGTGTGATTTCTACGCCAAAGGCGTTTTTTACCTTTTGAAAGGGAACCCTAGGCTAAAGAAGTTCACAAGAAACCATGTGCTGCTTTGGTAGCCGCTGGCATGCTTCTAGAGGTGGTCACACTATGCTGCTGGCTAGCACCAGCGAGTGTGAGTGATCATGTGATTTCTAGTCGCCGCTACCTTGCTACCAAAAGTTGAATTATCAACTGTCAGCATGTCCGACTTCGCAAGCCGCTGACAAATACTCGCCGACTGGTGGTGCAAGCTGCAAATGTTGTAATCACATTAAGCTGATAGTAGCAGCTTCTTTTAATTCGTCATTGATGCCAACCAAGTGTGACCCGTGGTTATGATAATCATAACATCCCTTCTACTTTCTAACATGATCCTACGAGCTGCTTCTTTTGCTCTAAAATATTTTGTTGTAACCATAATTTGTTTTTCCTCCCAGGCAAAGCTACACCTGATTTCTGTTTTTGGAGCTGGCCTTCTTGTTGGCACCGCTTTGGCTGTCATCATACCAGAAGGCATTCGTTCTCTTTTCACTTCTGGTCAAGCAACACATGGTAATTAATGTTATAGTTTTGTATTTAAAAGATGCCTTAATGACTAAAAATGAATAATTCTTTGTTAAATATAAGTTTTACCCATAGAAACTAATAACTTTATTTCCAACTAATCTTATCAATGATTTATGATCGTGATGTTTAAAATATTTAGTGATAAATGACATAGCCGTTGCTGAATACCTTAACCTAACTTTATAATTTAGGCCTTAACTAATTGTAAACTCTCATTTAATTTTATTTTAATCAGACAATATTGCAATGTGGTAATGGGAGGGTTGTCTTGTTTATAGTATAATAATAGTCTCTATCAACTCCCGTCGCATCCAAGATAGCTAAATTTAATATGACACCAATGCTGTATTCCTTATTTAATCCACTTCTATTCTAGTTGGTCCACACCCCTGTGGACAATTAGTTTTGTCTACTATTTGTGAACATTGTGAACAAAATTTACACACCTGCCAAACAAAAACCATAAACTTAAATTATATTTCTGTGATCTCGCTAGTCAACCTCTATTGAAAGTCTATCGCCAGTTAAGACGTGAATGAAGAATTGTGTTTGGACTGAGTAAATGTGTGCAAGGAGTGGAATGGAATTTGGAGGTTTAAAGCAGAGGTTAAAGTTAAGGAAATTTTGCCTGCAGAACACAGTACCAAAAAAGATAGATTGACTAACTAATGGGGGACGTTTCTATGATAAATCCATCAAGCTAGTCACACTTCTCAATTTTCTTTTATTACCCTTCCAAATACTGTGACAAAACCGGTAAAACAGTAGTGGATGAAGAAATAAACACAACGTTAATCTAGGTTAGGCCCTACATAGTTGTGACAATATGTGTTCACACTTAACTACAAAATTGTCTTAAAAGTTAACAATATTCTGTAAGAACACAGTCTTGAAAACCACAATATTGTAGTCAATTCTATTCTCGCTTGTGTAATGTTTTGTTATAGACAGATATAGTCACTAATGTGAAACTGTTGATAGTAAATGGTTTGTATTATTCACTGTGAAACAAAGTAGGCCTACTTTGTATGTTCCGTAGCGCTCTAATTATCTATGTGTTATTTCCCCAGCCCACACAGCACCAGGAGAAGGGGTCACTATGTCCGAGGCTACAGAGATTGCCGATCTACACACTCTGATAGGTCTCTCCCTGGTGGCTGGGTTCATACTGATGCTACTTATCGACCAATGTTCCTCTGCCTACTCCAGAGGTTAGTATTCTTTACTATGTGTTATGCGTTTGAGTTAGTAATGACTATTGTTTGCGTGGATATTTGATATGGATTAGGCGGCCCTAGTGAAGTTGGCACACTGTTCTAATATTGAACATTCAGCGGGAATTGGGAATTTGCAGGGGTAGAAAACTTGTCTTACTTTTGGGGGCAATTGTTTCTAATTTCAGAGCTGTCAAGCTTTAAAGCTCTAAATTTGGTAGGTCGTAATCCCACGTAAAACTTTAGGTAGCTAAAGCCCACTGTGATATATGTCAAGTTTTAGTTGTTCTATGATACATAGGTACAGTTTAACTGTGACAATACTCACGACCCCAAGATTCCTGTTATTTTTTAGTTTTAGCTTTGCAACTTCTCGTGTCTAATGACAATAGAGGATTCTTATTCTTCTAAAAAAATTTGAATGATGTGCCAATCGTACTATGAATACAGACTTGACTTCATGTTGATGGATATTATTCTTTGAAGAGACTAGGTGAAAAGGAGTAAAAAAACTTGTGCTCTATTATTTTTTATTGTTCTCATTTAATCTGATCATACAATAGAATATCAACTCATTTCTCATCTAGAATTTCAATTGCTAACATCTGATTGTTTAAATCTATGTTTATTTTTTTAACTGTAAAGTTAATCCTCATTCACATTAGACCAGTAAATTACAAGTGTATCTTTGTAGACGTCGAGGTGGGTGGTAGTGGCGCAGGACCGCTGGGTCACGGACACCGGGCTAGTGTGACGGCAACAGTTGGTCTGGTGGTGCACGCAGCAGTGGACGGTGTAGCTCTCGGCGCAGCAGCTACTACTACGCAGACCGATGTTGAGATGATCGTCTTCATCGCCATCATGCTTCACAAGGTAGACTGTTTTTGTAGACAATTGAGGTTTGCAGCTAATGACTGAAATGTTTTAATTTGTTATTAAATCTGTTTAGAGGTCATGTTTTATTACCTCTGGCATTAATATACTAGAGAAATTTAAAAACATAACCACTTTTTCAAGGCACCAGCTGCTTTCGGGCTGGTCACTTTCCTGATGCACGAAGGTATCGATCGCAAGCGGATCCGTCGACATTTGCTGGTCTTCTCGTTGGCGGCTCCACTTCTAGCGCTCGTCACATACTTTGGCATCGGTCAGGTAAGTGTGGATCAATAATTGGATTTAGCTTCGTGAAGGGGACATTTTTCCCCCTCTATCATATTTTATTGTAAAATAACTTAATGCAAATTTTTATTCTTGAATTATTTTACCAGGATAATTTGTCAGCTTGCTAAAAAAAGCTACAAATATACAAGCATTACAGTTAAATGATGCTTTAAAAAAAAGAGTTAAACCCTAATCCTAACTTACATTACCTTAATTTTACAGGAAGGTAAGGAAACGCTGCACTCTGTGAATGCGACAGGCATTGCAATGCTCTTCAGTGCTGGGACGTTCTTGTATGTCGCGACTGTTCACGTTCTACCTGAGCTGACGTCACGCGTAGACGGGACCTTCAAACCCAATCAGCTGTTCGCTCTTATAGTGGGAACGATTCTTCCTGTGATCCTAACTCAAGGACATCACCATTAGCGGCTGTGATAATTTTGTGAAATGTGAATGGAGGAGCCAGTGAAGAAATGTGTTAGCAGTGACAAGTTCACACTACGGTTTTAAACACTGCCAGGTTTTAAAAATATACAATCTTATAAAAACAGATAAATTAATGGGAATAAAACATTTTGGTCTTTATTTAGTCAATAAAAAGGTGGACGAACAACAGATATAACTAAAGTGATTTAATAAAGTAAACAAAAATCCGCTTTAACCTTACTTCATTAGAAACCTATAGAAAATCAAGGCATTATTTCAAGCACCCTTCCAGTGGTGGTGAAGGGATCGACTATTTTTTACTATTGATTTGCTGTTTGAAGGCTTGAGTTTTAAGATTTTGTTGAGTTGTTTTTCAACGTCAGTATTCGTCTATCAACTAGTCTGAAAGGCATCAAATGTTTGTACAGTTCTGTTAGGTTTAATCAACTGTAAGTGCTAACAGATGTGATAAGAACTCAAGTGTAATCAAGAGTAGATGACTCTTGGTATGATTCGTTTACAATTAGTTTTTGTTCTTAATCTTTCATATAGTTTGAACAACTTTTTATACTGGGCCTTCAAAATCACTATTCAAAAGATTCTTGAGTAGGAAAATATTTTATTAAATTTGATTAGTGTATGTAAAATATATTTATACATCACAAAACTTGTTTATCAGTTGTAATTGTTGCATATGTACAAAGTTAGGTATTTCTGTATGATATATTGTTAAGGATATTGTAATGGATATAACTATAAGTTTTAAAATTTGATTTGTCAAAAAGCTTTGAAAAAGAAGTTGTGATTGATTATTATCAAAGCATTGTGAGTCAACGAGCAATTATCTATGAAAGGTAAAAAGGTTTTTGTTTTTTACTAGGCTATAGGCCGAAATTGTTTTTCACATTACTTCAGACTAGGCCTAGAGGTTGCAGCTTTTATCTCCAAGATAACGTTTGTAAGCAATTGGTGGGATTTGAACCCAGGACCTCAGGGATTAAAGTTCTATGCTCTAGTTCTACGTCTAGACCAGCTCACTCCCCTCAGAGCCGGGGTCTTGGCCTCCGATGCTCAAAATTAGTTCAGTAAAACTCAATTTGAGAACTTTTACATTATTTTATGTTTTTCCATTAACTATGTGTTTATAAATATGGTTCATTATGGTTCTATAAGTTTTACGGCTTTCCCGGTGTAACTAATAATGAAAACTGATGTTCCTAAGAAAATTAAAGCAAAAAGTGCAAAGTGGGAAGTATAGCTTTAGGAAATTAGATGGAAATAACAATGTTAATTAAATTAAATTTAAGTAGCAAATTAATTCACAATGTGCAAGACAAATTTTGCCATCTCTACGCATTTCTCATGTAATTTTAATAAAGCCGTACTTGAGGCTGTAACCTGGAAAGATAAATTTTATATTTAAAAATTAATTGATATACATTTTTTATGTCTTTTTGCTTAGTTTGTATTTTTCATAATTATTTTGTAGCTAAAAGCTTAGAATACATTGATTGTTCTTTTACTTGGAAATGTATATTTCCCAATTATAGCCTTATTATTTAAGATATTTATACTGCTGTTTTGTAATGTTTTTTAAATATTCCTATAACGTATATGTTTGTTTTGTTTGTATATATTAGATATTAATATGGTGAAAAGGGTTTTATAATTAAGGCCTCATAGTGTAAATGTATCGTATATTTGGTCTGGTTATGCACAAAATTCTACTATTTTTTCAAAATTGCAATTATGTTATTACCCATTCGTTATAAACATAGTAAAAGTGAGTGAGTAATAAATTGAAATAATTTTGCAATCTTTACTCAAACAATACCTATAACATTTTGTAAACATGAAAATCTATCGCTGGACTAAAATGTACACTATTATTACTCAATTGTGATACTTTAATTCTATTTAAAATAATTTTTTTGTTGAGAATAAAAAATTATTTGAGATACTGGTAGTTATTTTTTATGTCCTTGTAGAAGTAAACATACTTTTCTTTAATTGCCGGTTAACAATAAAATGTCAAAGGAAATTTAGTTAGTGATAGTAAACATTGCGTGGTCCAGTAACTTTGATCTGGTCCTCTCTGGAGAGAAATAAAATAAAGTACGCCTTAATTAGGTACTGTAATTTCTTCCCTCTATCAAACCACTTTAATGATTGTGTTTTCTCTAATTGATTTTTTAATGGTACACACAATCTTTAATTATTTCGAAATAATTTCACTGCCAAGATTTTTTTCTTGAAAAGTACGAGGAGCGTTTTTTAAATATGGCCCATTTATGCATGTAGCTCCTTAGTTTTTGCAAAAGCTGTAACAAGGCAGCTCACAACTTGCTAAACATAATTGTACCATTTGCAGCTCTGAGGCCTAGTAGGGCGTAGGCCTTTGTTGCGGCTTGAGCGCTATACGGAGCTTTACACAGGAACAGCTCTTACTTATAAAATGTATATTGTTTAAAGCCTATCTTCGCCTTTTGTGAGTTTTTACCCTCTTAAAATGTTAAAATACTTGTTTTTTTTCTTTTATGACAAACATTGATTATAAACTTATCTTAGCCAATCATCGTTTATTTTTCCTTCTAAATTGTTAAAATATTTGGATATCACGCTTATGTGATGCATTTGTACAAGAATTGGTCGAGGTAACACTGGTGGAAATAAGTAGACAGAACTAACAAAAAGGGGATTTTTTAATTTAAAAAAGATGTTTCAAAGACAATAAATAGAATTTTTAACTTAATTAAATAACAAACACATTAAAATGTAATACAACCTTAAAAAAAATTTTCAAATTTGGGGATATGATTGATTAACAGGTTTGTAAAGATATAGTATTTGGTTTTCGAAATGCCCACGTAGCTGCCCAACAAAGAATCGCCAAATTAATAGAATAGATGCCCTCAGCAATGTAGAAGTGCCCCTGAGTTCCAGGGGTGTAAAAAAAATGTTCTTCCATATTGCCAAGAACATTCTGCTAAGAACCTATAGTTTAAATTACTTAGAATTTCACTAATGGTAATTAACACCTGTTTTAGATAAATGCAATCTAGCACATCATGATAGTTATTTCCTACAGTCACCTGACAAAGTGGCATTCCTTGCATTGATTATAGCAAAAAAAGTTGCTAATTGCTGCCTCTACTTACTTTTGCCTCACAGTTTTTTCCCCGCACACCAGTATTCCAACCAAACAACACAAAACAGCGTGCTTTTATTAGGCATGTAATACGAAAATAGACAACAACACTTAAAGATATTACGACTATGAACAGCTTATTCAGTGTTTCCCATTTCGTTCAATGTTTGGATTTAACCTAACATAAAAAGTGTTGTACAGTGTTTGAAAGACTAATTATTTATATGCTTTATAGTAACTGTAGGAAAAATATCTGTAACAGGAGTGGAAACTGCCTTTGCTGCACTTGAGAAACTTTCCACACTCGCCTACGGCTCGTCCGTAAAAATTTCTCTCTTGTACAGCAAAGTGCCACTTAAACAACACTAATTTGACCACACCATACAACACGTTTTTTGGTTAGTTAAATCCAAGCGGTGAACGAAATGGGAAGTGCTGCACCAGCTGATTGTACTCGTATCTTTAAGTGTTGACAACTTATTTTCAAGCATACACAAATTACCTGCCTAATAAAAGCACACAGTTTTGTGTTGTTTGGTAGGAATACTGGAGTGCGGTAAAAGTAAGTAATGACAGCAATTAGCTACTTTGCATGCTGTAATCAGTGCAAGGAAACCCACTTTATCAAGTAACTGTAGAGAAATTATATTAATAGAAAGAATATCAAAGAATTTCAATGATACAAATCAGTGGTAACAAAAGCTAAACTAACAATACATTGATTTGATGATTTCAAGTAAGATAAATTTCATGACAAATATCACACAAATACAACAAACAATCCATGCCAGTAAGATTCAAGACTTAACCGATATTACAACATTGATGGATAAATAATGTTTACAAAGTCAGTTTTACACTTTATACATATTTACAATAAGTTTGAGCATTTTCTACAAGTACTTAAACCACAACCTTATTGAGATATGAAGGAGGAATATAATTCAAGAAGACATAATTGTATGTAAATCTTAAAATTACTGTACCAAGGAGTTACATATTCATTGATCATGTATTTTATAAATTCATGAATTTTGTTATGGATAGGTTTAACAGCAGGCTTACCAAATAAACACATAGAATTTTCAGAGTGACCAGCTCCTTCAGTAGTAGAGGCTTGGTTTTCATTTAACCACAAAACTATGAACTAAGAAAACCAAAACTTTTACTGAAGGAGCCAGTAGCTCTGAAAATTCTATCCATTTATGTGTTATATGCATTTTCCTAATCAAGGTAAGCTTGTTGATAAACCTATCCACTACACAATCGTTTAAAAAACCACAGGCCTAAAACAATCTTCACCAAAAAAACTTCATATAATTACATTGTAACCTTTTATAATATACAGGATGTCAATGTACAATCTAAGATATCTTTATAGTTAATTATAATTCTCAAATGAAAATCTGCACTGCACATTTTCACTACATTATTTACAGTAAAATGATCAAATACTTTTTTACAGAAATTACCTTGGAATTGACAATGTTTAAAACCTAAACTAGCAAGATAAGATACAGTATAATACTTTGCACTTTTGCAGCATGTTTTGTATTTTTCATTGAAAAATACAAAACACAAGGTAAACGCCCATTGAAACGAGTAAGCCATGACTTGCTCGTGAGGATCAATAAATAAAAAAATTCTATATTTTGCAAATAAAGAAGAAAATTTAAAACTTTACATTTTAACACCTACAGCCAAGTGCTCAATTTGTAAAAAATGAGGTGCCAGAACAGTAACCTATTTAATGTGGTTAGTAGTAGTATTTTTATCTTTCCGAAAGAGAGGTACCGGAACCCTCTGTTCTGCCGCGTTCCCCCACAAATCGAGCACTGCCTACAACACTTGCAAATAGCCCACTACATTAGTAAAGATGAGTGAGTGACTACTACATAATTCCAAACTTTTGGAAACAAAACTAAAGTCTCTTTGTACAAATAAAACAATGCACACCTACAGTTAAAATCTCGTAATTATAGAGAGAAGATATACAATTTTTAATATTTACAAATCTACTTAGTTACAGTGAAAGCAGTTGTCGTAAAAAAATATGGTTTAAGAAATTTAAAATAAAACACACCATCATAAACAAATACTATCACTCTTAAAAGGTTATGTTTTTAGGAAAAAGCATTTAGCTTGGATTAAATAAATAAATATAGGATCACTCTTAAAAGAGACACTATTACAAGTGGAACTACGACTTTTTACACATCTACAAAATAAAATAATAGTGTGGGCAAGAGTATGCCAGATATACTAAACTAATTCTAGAGGTTGTGAAATCATAAAATGATTATATTAAATCTATGATTATATGATACTATGATACTATCCTCATTCTACAATTTTGGTAAATTTAAGTACACAAAAACTTAAACTTCCCTAATTTTTCAAATAAATGTTCACTCTATGAAAACAAAAACAAACCATAACCTACCGTATTTTATCTGATTATTCAAATATCCATAGGATATTTACAGCTTTGAAATCTGTACAAATCAACTAGGATTAATCAAAATCAAAATCGTCAAAGATTTAAACAGAAGGCAGTAGAGTAGCTGCCAGCTTGAGTCCGTTTTTATCTCGTGACACCAAAACTCGGACGACGCTGAAAAGCTGAATCAGTTGTACTTTTTCTATCCCCTCCCATCGTATGTACAATTGGGACTTGTTGGCTTCACTCACATGTTCAATCTCGGCATTTAATGGCTGAAATAAGAGAAAAACACTTGATTGATCAAATACACAAGTAAATTAGCTATAGCTGACATTCACTTTAAATCCTTCAAACATCTCATCTTATTATACAAGCTGTATACATATTTTTTTCCATTTCTGCATCAGCAATTTTGAGTGAAAGAATCACAAATACTTATAAGGGAAAATGGTCCAAATCCCTAAAACTATTTTGGATATGTAAGAGAATAACCCTCCCCTCTTTCACCAATCTCCAAGTCAGCAACAAAATTTTTAATTCAAATTTTTTGTAAAATTTACAGATTTGGAGCATTCCTTATTAGGTTGAGTTTATTCCCCATAAATTGCACGAGGCAAAGTGAAAGAGGGCTTGATTTAAAAAAGGGGTGTCTGTAAAGATTTGTAATTTTCATAATTTCTTAAATCAAATTGTCAAGCCATCTGTATTTATTGACTCAAAACAATGAATTTGAATTCATAAATCCACATACAGTGGAGCTCTCGGTAAAATACAGTGAAACCAATAACAAGTGTATTTTCCTCTTAAGACCCTTAATTCATCTTACTGTAACCCCAATAAGAAGTTAGCCTTGATAACGAGTTTTACTTGATAATCCCTATGAGAGACTTGGTACCAAAATTCTACTGTGTCACGCCTATGATAACTTACATCAGTGTAGACTCGCAACACAATCCCGAAGTCTCTGACGATGACATCAGCTGATCTATCCTTGACGTCGATGACAGCCGCCAGACTCTCGACAGGTTCCCGCAGGTACAGGGCCAGAAACAGCAGGGAGCTCTGATCACCAGCCACCTTGGCCGCCAGCTTCTGTCGGTTGCAGATCGTGGCGATTCTATCAACACAGAAACATCAATGAGGAATTGTTAAGCAAAAATGAGTTAATAAAACAGTCATCAACTACCAATTCTTTGAGACGGCACACACTTGGGTGTGTATTTTAAGCAAAACCAGCTGTTTCATTAGTCAGATCAGCTGGTTTATTAGTCAGGATAATTGATTAAAATCCCAAAAATAAATAGTAGCTGAGAATTTGGAACCATCAAAAAGCTACAACTTTTCTCAGGATGGAATCGGCGACCTTCTGATCATTACAACCACTAAGCTTACCAACTATATACCGATATTGATCCAACAACTAGAAAAGGAGCTGATTAAATAATTCACCAAAACGTCTTTAAGTTAAATGAAAAATTTGGTAGGTATGCATAATAATAATTATCTATTTATTCAAAACTCTTGGCTTTTACTTAAATTTACTAAAAATTCATTTTGGTTTGATTGGGTCTTCTTAATTCAATAATTCATGTAGATGTTTAATTTTTTGCCTCTACTAAAGAATTAAGTAGCCTAATCTTTTCTATTTTGTAATTGAAATCTTAATAAAAATAAATAAAAAAAGATCTCAGCTAATGTCAACATTTTTGGAATAATATTACATAGTTGAGCCACAAAAATCCCATTTTAGCAATCTAAAGGCATTGAGAATAAAATTCCCCAAGACTCCTTTACACACCTCTTACTATCCAGATGAGACCAAGTAGGCGGAGGCGTGAGCTCTAACGATGCGGCCAATAGTCTGTGAACCATCACGTCCGCGTAGCGACGTATCGGCGAGGTGAAGTGAGTGTAGTACGGAGCGTTGAGAGCGTAGTGGTGCAACTCTGGTATCTCCTTGGACGGGCAAAAGTAGTTCGCTCTCTGTAACATACTCAGTTGTAACATCACATTGAACAGAGTTAGTTTCAAACAAAACATATCCTCTTCTGTTTCCGATTATTTGTAATAGAAAGATTTTAAAGAGGATAATTAAATCATTGAACTACGTGGTGTGACACTAGACTATGTGGGTTGAGGTAAAATCGAATTATGAAATGAATTAATTGAATCTTATTATGATTGTTCTCCAGTTGGGATCCCTGTGAAAAAGTTCAGTAAAAACACAAAGTACCCTGACAGTAAAAGAGGACATCTTTTTCAATATAAAACATGAATGAGCAACTTTAAGAGAGGGAGGGGGTTGTGTAGATAAAACTTGTTTGTTAGCATCAAATTGTGACTTTTGGATACTGAATCAATAGTCAAAGATGATAGTTCATACAGATGTGGACAACAAACAAGCATTAGATAGAAAACTTTTCTTTCCATTTTTTCCCCATGTTTTGAAGTGAATTTGTGTATTTTCTGCACCAATGGCATTTTTTACGGTTTGAAAAGGAACGATCCAAACCCTGGTATTGTTACTATCTAACCTAATTTTTTTTATTATATTGCATCATTAATTCATATCCCAATGACAAGGGCATCTGGGTCTGGAAACGATCTCACTCGGACACGAACCAGTGACCTTCAGATTCAAAGGCCAGTACAAATTCTCATAGCACAAACTGAAAAGGGGGTAAAGTATTTTAAAATTTCAGTTTGAATTGATTAAAGAAGGGTTAAACTTGATTAATTCTTTGTTTAAGCTTACATTAATTGAGTAACGGCTAATTTCATTCTTAACATTTTTTATTATTTGTTCAGTTTTTACAACATGACTGCAAACCTCCCATAGCAGAAAGCAACAATTCTCACCAGCATAGGCTTGGCACACATCTGATTGAGTACGATGTACCTCGCCCAGCTGATCGTCTCGTCTTCTCCCTCCACAGGCGAGCCGTACTTCAGCATGGACGAGTGTAGCGTCCCGGCATCAGATATATCCAGGTGAATGCCATACGTCTCCAACCTTTAACATATCAAATACTAAATCAGTCGGTTAAAGTCATCCACCTGTTAGAAACATTTACTTCTTCTTCTTGCTGTTCAATAAAAGGTACTGGCTGAAAAACAGCTGGTCTTCAGCCACAACGAAGCTTCATAGATCATTTAATTCCATTCTACACTCATTCTCGATAGGAAATATACTTTATTTACATGTTCGTTGAGAACAGTACAACACCATAGGATATTTACAGGTTGTTTGTTGTTTGTACAAAAACAGATTATATAAAAATCATGTTTGGGTCATTCTTTTTCAGCGTAGAAGGGTCTTTCCAGCAGCTGTACGCTTTTTCTTGAAGGTGGTTAAATTGTTAAAATATGCACTTGTTTTAGTTGAATACTTGCATATTCACTATAAGTGGTTTGGTTTAATATACCTGTATTGTTGGTAATCCAAATGGTTGCTGTGGCAACTAGTTTCGGCACACAATGGAGCCATCATCACGGTTCACAAGAACATTGTCGCTTCCTCTGAAGGTCGTCATAGTTCACACATATTTACAAACACGAAACATTGAAAACACAAACACTTATGACTAGTTTTTACAACGCAAAGTAGTACCAGTAACAGTATTTTGTATAAAGTTGAAATGTTTGCCGTTGTTTTTAGCATTGAATACTAATACTACAGCGTACTTACATAAATAAACCAGCTTTAGTCAGTATTCAATACTTAGAGAGCATAGTTGAATACTATAGATGTTCAACTTTTTTACCATCCTGTGATACTGCAGCAGTATGTGTAACATAAAAATGTCTCGGCTTACGATGATTTTGAACTTTTAGTTTAGTATGTTTAAAAGGTTGATGTAAGAACATAAAACAGTATTCAAGAAGTACACTTTATTCTATGCTAAATTGAACTACTGTTCGTTCTTTAATATTCAATAATTAGCAACAAATTTAACATGGAAGTAAAAAATATACTTCATTGAGACGTATCAAATTGTCTTAAATCTAATCCCTGGTGAAGTCCTGCATCACAGAATTCCATTGTTAAGTTATGTGTTATTTTACTATGTAAAATAAACTCCTGGACTCTTAACTCTCCGAGTAAACTTGCTCAACTAACTCTTCCCCAACAACTCTTCAAAGCTTTAAAGTGTATTTAAGGGGAGTTTAGCTTAAAATACACTGGGAGATACACTAACCTTTTCTGCAGTTCCAACATCATGTTTAGTTTAGGAGGTAAGTGATGGCGGAGGAAAGCCAGGTCAGGATACGCTGTGTATATGTGTTCCGCTACTGTCATGTTGGCTAACAACATGAATTCTTCAATCAACCTGGACACAAGCAAAGTGTTGATTATACAACTTGGAGTTGAATATGATGAAATTTAACTTCCCATGGTTAAAGGGTTGATTTCAAAGGCATATTCTTGATTTTGTTTATTCTTTAGGAATTGGAAAACACCTTTTCAAAATCTATCGTGATTTAATTTTTGATACAGTAAAATAAAGGATAAGTCAACAGCTTAACCCTGAAACTGCCGGTTGAAATTTCCAAAAGGTCACTGTACTTTGCTGCACTTTGTATAGTTAATTTAATAAATTAATGGACAATATTATTTGTATTTCATAAAAAATGAAAAATATATACAATACAGCTGCACTGTATTGTATACTTTATATTTTTCAGAAAGAAATAAAGATTTTATTTATATTATTTGTATAGTAATAAAACCTAATCACAATTTGAACTGTGTTATCTCTTCTACAAAAATAGTTCATACTGTATACATTTTTATAAGTTTAAAAAAATACTATAAAGTTAATGTGTTATAAGTATATACAAAAAATGAGTGATAGAAGCTAACAAATAAGCCGTATTTTATTGTTTTTGTGAAAAAATTCTGATAGTAAAATAAAAATACTCTAGTGCATCAGGGGAAACAAACTGATTCTAAAACTACTTATTCAATTGATGCATTTTTGTTCACCCTACCTATGCGACTCTTTATTCTGATATATAAAACTGCTTAGAGGTGTTTGCGTTTCTGCGTCTAGATGAAAACACAGCTTAGGTTGGTCGATACGCAGAGCTCCTGAGTCAAATCTGCGTTTACGCATGATCTGCGACAGTTTGTACAGAATACGGATCCTTTCTGCACAGTCTTCTGCAGTGAATCCGTTGCTCACTTCCGGAAAATCTTCAGCCGTAAAGGTCTTGTCTAGATCATCAATCACCATCTAGAAAAGTCATCCTATTACGACTGGTATATCAGTTTTTTTAGTTTGCACACTGTACAAAAACACAAACCCTGATACTGAATTATAAACAAAATTGTATTCAACGAGAAGCCCATAGTTGATTGAGGTATTTTTCAGAAAAGAAAAATTCAAGTAACTTACTAGAGGAATATTTGTATTTTTGAAGTTCTTAGTTCTTGAGGTTCTCAATCTAGTGTCAAATACATTTCGCAGGCGAGTAAAGTCTTCAGGGAGAGAAACAAATATTTTGGCAAAATCTATTGGAGACTAGGATAAGAACCTCAGTAAGAATTAAGGCTACAAAAAGATAAAGATACCTTAAAAATAATTACAAACACAAATAAGTCAGGGGAAAAATAGATTAGATAAACAATAGTTAAGTTGTGTAACCTTGTTATGGGTGTATGAGCCTCAAGACTATTTTTTGGGGGTAAGATAGCTAAAATCTATCCCTTTCAGAGAAAAAAAGCTCAAATATTTAAATAAGTCTTCCCTAGACGAAAAAAATGTACTTACTTATACAGGGTGTCCCGGAACTCTCTACCAATATTTTAGGGCATTGATCCTGGGTAAAAAACGTACCTAAATATTATATTCAAATTGTCCGGAAGTCATTAGTTACTCACACAGCCACCATTTTGTTTTTTTCAGTTATTATTTTTTTTCTAAAGAACGGTTAAACATACGAAATGGAAACTTTGCACAAACATTTATGACAACTAGACAAAGCTACAAAAAAATTATGAAGATTTTTCTAATTCGTAAAACAAAATGGCGGCCATTTAAAATTTTCTTTCTTAAATAACTCAAAAACCACTGATTTTACAAAAATTTTAAATGGCCACCATTTTGTTTTATGAATTTGAAAAATCGTGATAATTTTTTGGTAGCTTTGTCTAGTTGTCATAAATGTTTGTGCAAAGTTTCCATTTCGTATGTTTAACCATTCTTTAGAAAAAAATTAATAACTGAAAAAACAAAATGGCTTCTGTTTTAGTAACTAAGGACTTCTGGACAGTTTAAATATGATATTTAGTTATGTTTCTTACCCAGGAGCAATGCCCTAAAATATTGGTAGAGAGTTCCGGGACACCCTGTATTTATTCCACTTTACAGCAATTAATTTTAGGTATATAGCACAACAAGCAGTAAAACTACATTAGTTAGTTTTTCTTTTCTAATGTAAAATTAAAAATTTTTAATCCAAACTTAATAACTACGAATCCCAAAACATTATAAAACAACAAATAGCCTACTAAAGCTCATTAAGCTAAATAACATGTCTTTGTAGAGAAAAACTCTAGGTTTTCCTTGCCATTAAAAAGCGAAATGCACTCACCTGAGCATGCTCGTACGCTAACTTGGTGCAAGAATGGATAACTGAGCGAGCGAACCGGTGAGTGACGACTTGAGCGTCTGGAGTGAGCTCCACAAAGACGGAGAACGCCAGTTTATCTTCACCAGACGTGAGCGAACACAGTTGACACAGCTCTAATGGCAACATGTGGTAAACCTGAAAACACAATTATGTCATTCCACCCTGTTTCTGCACTACTGAATTTATACTTTTATTATATCATTAACAAAAAGAATTAAATATAGACCGACAACAGTGCTGCGGTTAGCATATGTTCTGGTGTCCACCGCTAGGAGTTCCGTGTACTTAAGGCGCACACCGCTGCAGCGTATGCTGGTATTATTCAGCGAGGAGCCGACGACGGCAGCGAATCGAACACTGAGCTTGTTCTAGTGGCACATCGTGGAACTTTCCTTTGACAGTCTATATTTATTCTATTTAATTTGTCTGTGGTTAAATTTACCATCAATGTGAGGCCTAATGTATTATTCTACAAACAGTTTCAAATGTGAATTTGTGTAGTTTACAGTTAATCCTTCTGTTGAATTTTAATTTTTGTGGTTACTTTTTAACTCCAGAAAAACAATTGAAAACTTTAGAATATGCCACACTACTTTCTTACATTTGCATATTATGTTTGAGCTATTGCAATGCTTCACAGGCTAACTCTAATCACTCATCTTATCACTAGTAATTAATGGACTTACCCTCTGGACTAGATATATAGTCGTAGCTCTCTTGCTCACTTTGTGGTCCAACATCGTCTTGGGCTGTAAAAAGTGACTGACATCGGAAATGTGAACTCCAACTTCGAAATTACCATTTTCCAGCTTCTTAGCAGAAACTGCATCGTCAAGATCCTTAGCTGTCGCCGGGTCTATGGTGAAAATGCACTCTTTCCTAGAAATTCACATCACATATCAATCAAAATACTACTGATTATATGACCAATACTGACTAGGCCTATCATAATTAATTAATTTTAGGTTGACATGTTTTTATGGTAAAACCAAAGGTTTGACCAAACATAAAGAAAAATATATCCACTAAATAGTGATTCCAAACCTGAGGTCATCACGTTTTGCAATTTCTTCGTCTGGTATTGTGTAGGGTAGTCTCGGGAAGAAAATGTTCAGTATTGGATCGTGGGGGGTTGGGTCCAAATTGTTTTCCAACAGTATAGCCATGGTTTCCGCTTCTACATCTCCACTTTTACCAACCTCCTTGAGGATTTTTCTGAAAAATAATAATTTTTAACTTTATTCGTTCCATAATCCTATTGAGTTACACTATAGCCTCCCGTGGCGAGACAAAAGTAGCAACACTGCTGTTCCATCAAAACAAAACAGCTGTTGCGTTGCTTTAATTTACAAATAGGCATGACCTTGCGACAAACCAACCCCGCCCTCGGCTTTGTATTAGAGGAAGCTATGCTTACACGATGAGCATTTAATTGACCAAACCAACAAAATACACATTAAAGCTTTAATATAAAGGAATGTCATTTAGCTAGTTCTATTTTATTCGTTAGTTTTTTAAAAGTGCTGGAAGTAACCTCTACTCAGTTAGATTTATAGCTAAAAAATAGATAATATATTCAATAGTTTTAAATTGTTAGATTTTTTGTCAGGTGGAAGTATCTCAAATACGGGTTATTGATTTTATGTGATCAGTGAGGGTTGCGTGCGGCCTTGAGGGTTTATCGCCCTTGTTGACAAAAAACGGGGGGTGGGAAAGAGAAAGTCAAAGTCCAGTTGCTTTGGTATGCAGTGGGCCCATGGAAGGGCAATGACAGCCAATAACAACACCCCAACCAACAAGGGGTGGGAAGGGGGAATGTTTGTTTGGTGTTTATAACCTTGGTGTGATATACTCGTTAGAGGAATATCTGGAAAATGAGTATATTTGAAAGATATTGCTTCTCCCATAGGTTTGTAGCTTATTATATGCTTTATTTCTTTTGTAAGCTATTTTATTTTAAAATGTAGTATAGTATTAGTATTAGACTTTGTGACAAATCACCTGTCAAGAGAATTGATGTAATGTGATGATGTTTAATAAATAAATAAATAAATAACCCAACCTAACATAACTGCCGCAGCGCGCTGTATAAGGGTGGCCTCCAGATAATACCACAGTACCAATATTATTTACAGTAAGTATAAAAGTGACGGAAGACATAGTTTATTTATTATATTCCTACTTCAGTATCTTAAAGTCTATGCTATTACCGAAAATCAAGAATGTCTAACCTCAATTAACTTTCTTTCCTGGTTCTAATTGATATAATAAACTATAGACATCCCAAGAACAAAACAACCTGCGCAGAAATGAAAAGATCACGTGGTTCGCGCCGGTAGGTGGGGCTTACCCTTCAAACCTGCGCGGCTTGAAATGGCCCAGGGTTTCTGGTATGACTATACCACGTTTTTGACCAAATGTCCGACAACTTGTTAAACCAATTAAAATCCTTTATGAAATTTTCAAATTCTTTCCGACAAATTACAACTGACCCTTCTGCAATGTTGACGTTAGTCCACGCCGTGATCTGCGCCGTAAAGATAGTGTCTGTGTACGCCCCAGGGCTGTGTTTGTAGCCTGCGGGGAGCGAGGGGTCGCTCAGCGGTATCTTGATTCTGGGCACTCTGGAGTCTCGGGGCGAAAACACTACGTAGCTGCTGTTAGGTTCAATAGTAGACTGTAGCTTGCCGACAGTCGTGCGAGAGTGGAACTCTTCCTTGATGAGAACAACCTGCACAAACGATTTGAGGTTAACCTTTCCCGAACAGGCGGGGGATCAGGGATATGAGATGAAGGACAAGTTACAGATGTGTATTCATAATTTTTGTAGATGTTGGGAACAGGAGGTGAATATTTCCGCCACTTCTGTGGACTGGTTGGTGTACAACCAGCTGGTAGGAACCACTGTGACCATTTTACTCTGCAGAAGGGTATGAACATGAACTTGTAAGTGACAGACCACTATGTGCTAAATAAACTCAACCTTATTATTTCTTCCAAATTTTCTAGAACATAAATCTTGTTTGGATTTACCATACAATATTTTTTTTAATGAAATATTGTGTAACAAAAACATTTTGTTCATTAAAATGTGATATTTGTAAGGATAGGTCGCAAATACATCCAAATCATTATTTTTATCGTAAAAACGTCAGCAGATTATCGTCTCACAAAATTACTCTTTTGTTGTGTTTATTTAAAGTAGAAAGGAATACAAAAATTTACAAGAAATACATTTTTTCCATTTTACAAGTTTTGGCCTGCCTTGTTAGGAATGTAACGTCTATGTACAGATTTTTCAGGAACAATAGGCTTAAAAAATATATTTGGTTCTTACTGTCTACGCAATCTGCCACACTCAAGAATATAATAGGCTTATATTTGAATGGAAAAAAATCCACACTGGCACAAGAAAGACAAAAGCTTAACACTGTGCATAAACATCTGAGAATTTAACTTTTACACCTTTTTAAATCAAGAAAGGTTTGAATTGGGAAGAGATACCATAAACAATTCAAGTCTTTTTTTAAGGTATTTCTCCAACAGTGTTTTTTGATCCAGGTTAAAATATCTTTTCCAAAAATTTTCTTTTTTGTTTCTACAGTGTAATTAAGATAAGGTTGATAATCCCACCAAATATTTATTAGTAAAATTAAAAGGAATGCTTCTCAGATTTGACTTTGGTAATGACATTAAAATTTGGCTATAACACTATATTAAAAAAAATCACTGTTTCCCAATCACTACGTAATTGCTTAAGATACTTTAAAGCGTAGAAGGTAACTTACTTTTCCAGTACGCTGTTCAGGATTGACCTAAAAAAAAATAATTAAAGTTTATTAAATAAAGTTAATTGTTATAGTTTATAAAAATTATAAAGTTTTGACTATTAATTGATGCTCATAAAAATTGATCTAATACTGCTGTGAATGAATCCAACAATAACTTACAACTCAAATAATATTCAAAAGGAACATCAAATCAATTTTCTGGGATTAACAATAGATGAAAATTTGAATTGGGATAAGCACACACAGAAAGTTTTAACCAAAACTAACTCTGGAATGTTCGCATTATCAAAAATGTCCTTTTATTGTAATTTGAAAACCCTAAAAAGTATATATTTTGCACACATTCACTCCCATATTTCATTCGGTTTAGCATTATATGGGTCAATAAAAATATTAAATATGGATAGTATTTTGAAGCGACAAAAAGAAGCTATCAGAATTATGCTTAAGCTTAAACGAGATGATTCGGCAAAAGAACATTTTAAGAAATTACAAATTTTTACAGTTTATGGGCAATATATTTATGAAACAATTCTTATCGCAAAAAAAAAATGAATCTGAGCAAGTAATAAATTCAGTGCATTCTTATAATTTTAGGAGGAGAAGGGAGTTTGTCCAGCCTCACAAATTAAAATTTTTTGAAAAAAAACCCTCATATGCTGGTAATGATTTTCTAAAATTTGTCCCTGAATTCATAAAAAAAGAAACGAACCTATCTAAATTCAAGAAAATTCTAAAGGAGCATTTAATAAATCTAGCATTATATTCTTTTGATGAATTTTCCACCTCCCATAAATAATAGTATTTTTATTTTAAGTATTCTGACACTATTCACTGTACCACCAATGTACATGATTTACGAATAAAGATGTTTGAATATGAATATGAATAATGTTAATTATAATTGGGCCTACTAAGTACATATGGAACAATAACAACAAAATAAAAAATCTTGTTCTAGTTTAAAGCAGTAGGCTTTTCACTTTTTCAGTTTTCCAATCACAATAATCAGTAGGCTTTACTATAGTTCGGCCGCTTAGAAAGCGACCTCCTCCAGCATTGGTTTAGCATTAGCGCGCAGGTTGTTTTCTAAAGAAGTGAAAATATAAAACTATAGTTCGGCCGCTTAGAAAACAACCTGCGCGCTAATGCTAAACCAATGCTGGAGGAGGTCGCTTTCTAAGCGGCCGAACTATAGTTTTATATTTTCACTTCTTTACAGTATATACATAATAGACCTGCAAGTTTGACTCCTTGAATACAACGGATGCACCAACATTTTAGTAAAAAAAGTGATTATTATAATACAACTATTAACTAATAAAATTATAAAGTTTAGATACATGATAGGACCTACCTTCCAGTTTTCCGGTGGATTCAGAAGAACAACAACTTCATCTCCTTCTAACGCTCGATTCCTGTTTTTCAACCCTTCGATAATGATATCTTTTTCTTCTCCCTTCAAAATTATACAATTGTTAGCTAAACAAAATTACAATCAATAGCATAATTTGCAACTGTTTTACTGATGGTAATATTGTTTAAACAATTAATTAAACATCTAACATCATGAATCTGGTATAGTGCATGAGGCAAGAGTCTAATACACATAAGCAACCCGGACTTCAGACCACACCTTGAGCTCTGATTTTTTTTTTTTTTTTGTGGAAGAAAATCAGTGGTGTAGTCATAAATTTTCTGATGTGCGAAAACTCACCATTGCCGCAAAAAAGATTCGGGTGGATTACAGGTCTATATAGGTTCTTTGGAAAAAGCAAGGTATGGAAATGCTTTTTCCAACATTCCTATATTAATAACCTTGTGTTTTTCTAAGACAATGACAGGCATTCTCAATTAACTACTACGCCAACTACGCCACTGATTGTTTCAACCAAAAATAAAACACCACCACAGCAGCAAACCTGCAGACTTAACGAATTACAATTAGTCTGATCCTTAAAAATGTGTCAGATTTATTCCCTCTAAAAAAAACCATTATGTTAGATAAGTGTAGTGTACACAATAATGTACCATAATGTTGCCATTTTTACGATATTTAAATTTGTGTTATAAAGAGTTGGCAATATGTTTTGCATTTGTGTCCTGACTGCAATCAGGCGACTGTGACGTCATATCGTATGATTTCAAATAAAGCTCCCGGATTGGCTACAACCCATCACGCCACTTTTCCCTCCACGTTTAACCACCGATCCAAAAGTTTTCCTTGCTCAGAGTCCTCAAGATTCCAGCAAACCGTAAACATGTAGTCGGCCGGGTTTTATTTAATTCCCCAAATGGTGTTTTATTTCAAAGATTGCACCCCCAAACGTTCCAATGAGTTACTTAGGTTTGCTGCTACACTGAAAGTAATGCTGGGTTCAAGCCCGCTAGAGGTGTTCAGGGATCTATCGCCTTGGTCACCTCTGGTTTCCCAGCAACTGGGTAAGGTCTCGATCGGGTAGTGGTGTAAATAGGTGGTTGGGGTTCCCCCCATCAGCTTGCTGGTGGTCCCCTTCTTCCTGACTTTGATGGCGGGCTCTGCCTGTCAGGGATTAGATAGGTCCCAAGTGTTGCTTGCACTAAATGCGTCAGGGCATTCCATTATGGTCCTTCTGGGTTTCGTACCTGGGGGAGCCCAGGTGGAGTGACGCTTAAACAAGTAGCCGGTATCCCTGGTTAGGATTGAGGGGAAACCCTCTCTCCGATGGGTTGCTTCGGCAGCCGGTGAGCCTGATGACCTTAAGTCATCCTCCCATGATGTGCCAAAGGTTGGTGCATTAGCTTTGGCCTACATCATGGGGCCCGGGTATGTTTAATTACAGGTACCGGGCTTGCAGTCAGGGAGCTTGCTCTTATGACAAAACAAAATGCGAAAAAATGAAAAATGCGAAACACTGAAAGTAAGAGAGTTAATTTAGTAAAATTTTGACAGCTTAGGTAGAAATAAAAATCCCGATGAGTATTGTGTTGACGACTGAAGAGTAAAAGTTAGTGTGCACCACTGTGCATAATTAAATTACCTTCACCAAACTAGAAATTATAAAAATAATTAAAGAGTCTCAAGCCATATTATTTACCAACCAATATCCAATATTACCAATATTTTTTTAACAATTGTTTTATTTTGACCCAATCTGGATTGCTATTTAATAACAAACTGGTTTTATTATGTTTATTGTGTACATTAACATGTTGGTTAATGTATGTTAGATAACCAACCTCGGAAACGTATGCATCTCTGAAGCATTTGGCGTTGATTCTGATGCTGCCCTGCAACAATATATACAAAAAATGTAACGTACAATATAAACTTATGTAATACTCATTAAAACTGTTAGTTTACACTAAGATTTTTATTGAAGATCTTTGCTCTTAAGAATTTCATGAAGTAGCCTAAGTATAAAAACAAACAAAAAACTAATTTTCTAGGAATGTATATTTTAATATCATTTATTTACTTTTAGGCCTACTTAGTTATTTTTATGGTTTGATATAATATATCAAACTCAAAAAATTTCTACAAACACACCTCTTTCAATAAGTAAATAAATTATATTAAAATATACACTCCTAGAAAATTACTCATTTGGTTAAATATTGCAATAAGTGGAAAATGTTCAATATTCGTTAAAAATTTTCCACACTGATCACTGGGGTAGACAAAATTTTGTTTCTATTATTTTAGGGTTATTTTCATGATTTGTGCTTTACTATTTGGTTATAGGAGACCAGTTATTGTTTATGATTTATTCGTTTTATTTGGTAAAATGAGGTTTTAAATGACTGAAATAACAAGAAACAAATTATAAACAAAACACAACCTCTACAGTTGGACGTACAGAACTAACAATAAATTGGCTTCAGCTGTTCCATAAGGATGACAAATCTACTAAGGGAGTATGTTTTATATAGATGACTTAAGTCTCAACTGATTGATTTGAACACCTCATAGTCAAAGAGTACTTGGTGGGGCGACAAAGTCCTATTAGAAGACTTTTCTTCACTAATTTTCTTTGATATTTTTTGTTGGATTTATTATATTATTCTATACTTTAAGTGAATCAGAATCAGAATCAGAATCAGAATCAGAATCAGAATCAGAATCAATATTTTATTCCATTAGACATGTACATGCATTAGGATACGTCAAAGAAGTTGAATACATGCTGTAAAAACACAAGTCAAAGATAAATTACAGTACATAACAAATAAGCAGTGTTGGATCGAAAGGCAACAGCAGTAAGTTCAAAGTACCATTTCGGTACTATTAGTCACCAAGTAAAAAAGGAAAAATTTTTATGTGATTTGGAAAAAAATAAAATTTAAGAAACTCTTAGATAAATGTTGGTAACTCACAGTAATCATGGTTTTGTTTCTCAGTCCTTCCTCGATTTCAATCGGGGACAAATAGTCTTCAAAAACATCTTGCTTCTTATTTTCGCTGGGAGGTTTCTTCTTCCTTTAATAATAATTACTTTATTAATGTTCTATCAGGAAAGTAATTTATCAGTTTTATTAACAGCGTCTTTGCCACACTGAGCATGCTTCTTGAACTAAACTAAAACTACCAAAAACATTTTTATTTAAAAAAATGTGTATAAGCAAACATACTAAGAAGACCCAGGGTAAGAAAAAACAATAGGCTAATCTATATCATTAAATATTTTAAGGCAGCAATCCACATCTAGGTGTGTATTTTAAGCTAAAAATTAATGAAGGGTGAAGAGAAATGATCTGCGTTGCTTTGTTATTGTTACGGTACTGATTAAGATCAGCTGTTTTATTAGCTAGGATCATTATTTAATGCCCAATGACTAAGGGACAACTGGGTCTAGTTTTGAACCAGCAAAAAGCTACAGACTTTTCTCAGGCAACCTTTGATTTACAGGCGAGAACTATGACCACTCAGCTACACAGCCAGTTAAATGGGATAAGGCAAAGCACAACCAATTTTTGATGAATAAAGATCAATACAGCATTAACGACCACGTGTCTCTGCTTAGCCAGTGGGAATCAAGTATCAAATAAGTTAGTAAATAAGTAAAGTAGTGATGATAATGATGATAATTAATTTGAGATAGTCAATACTTGCTTGATACTTGAAGATCTACCACTGTTAGTGTCACTTTGCCGTGGTGAAGAAATATATTGGGTAAGTAATAAAAAAATATTGCACTAGATACTTACCGGGCTGATTTTTTGTGGTCTTGGAAAAACTGTTCATTCGATTTTGGTGATCTAGGCGTATAGCTATTTTTTGGCGTTTTAGGGCCTTTTTTGGAACTGGGAACATTGTCTGTGACGTCTATTCCATAAGAGGGACTAAGAACATTGTGCGGGACGTTTACGTCTGTTGAAGGTCTCTTAACTTCTGTTCCAACATCATCACATGGCCTTGCTTCAGCATCTTTTGTGTCTTTGTCGCCAACTTGTTTTTTTCTATTCCTAGATTTTTTCGGCTTCCGATTTTCTTGTGTTAAAGAACATCTTTTCATATCATCAACTAAATCAGCAAGTTCTTTCTCTGCTTTGGCTAGAATGCCATTAAAGTTTGGTCCTGTTGTTATGTCACAGTTCACAGCTTTATTCATGTTCCTAAAATAATTATTACAAATTAAATTGCAAAGTTAATTTAACAACCCTTCTAAAAAAATTGAGGTTAATCTAAACACTGTTTAACTATTAATCATTCCATAAGTTTAACTATTAAGTTAAGAAAAAAGCTTGTCTAAGGACTTTGGAATTGTTATTTTTTGACCTCTTTAATCCACTATTTTAAATGTAGGCTATCCATTTTAATTGTAAACAAAAATAATCTGGAGGTAAGTTAACATAGGCTACCGGTACCTAATTAAACATATTCCTACTTGATTAATTTTATAACCTAACTTTATCTTCCTAAGCTAACCTTTCTTAATGTAGGTATCTAACAAGTTAAAGGTCACAAATTGTCTGAATTTTAGTCCTCGTTCTTCAAGTCAGCAATAAGTTTAACTCATTATAAGTTAAGCTGCGTTTTAGCATTCCTGTTTCTGTCGGCAGACAAAGCGTCCCATAGGCACGGATATTTTTGGAGTAGGTAGCTAAATCTAGAAATGTTACAATGTATTTGCCCAACCACTTGTTGGTGTCAACCATATTCAATATTCACAAAAAGAAGTATAAAATACGGTACAACAAATCTAACACTGCATTAACCAACTAGACACGTTTTAATTCACCAGCCGCTTGTGAGATACTAGGCGTTCACATTTGCTAGCCGCCACCAGCGAACAGTTCACGTTTTAACTGCCAACGCAGGATAGGCAGCGCTAAAAAGTTAAACATGTTCAACTTCTGATTTTTGCTAGTAAAAACCAGCCGGTATTTACCAGTCGTTGGTTCTGGATCAGACTAGGCTGCTTGCTAGCAATATAAGGCCTACCAGCGGCTGGTTAGTAGCGTGTACTAAACAGCCTAGTGTGATCATTATCAGCCTAGTGTGAATATTGATCATTGGGTAAAGTACCTAATCCATCCCCTTAAGTAAGTTATATGTACCCTGAAACACATACTGACAGATTATTGCCTCAGAAGGACTGCATGTCAAAAAAATAGTTTACTACTAGGCTACATTACGTACCGGTATTAACTTAATTTGTTTAAATAGGCTACATATTGTAAATAGACGCAATCTATCCAACTTTGTAGGTCAAAGATAAAGAAACCAAGTATTCAAGTAAGTAAGTACCTAAATGGACAATCGCACATTTTGCAAATTCATCTAGAAATTTAGGCCTTTGAACCTAGATCCTAACTTAAGGGTCTGGGTACAGTTTCTTAACTGGGCTATGCTAATCAATTAAAACTATCGATTCGACAAGTTTGGTTGGTTAGGTTATGATAGATTAATTTTATATATTTAAAAATATCGATTAGCCTATTAGGTAATTATATCGACCTCCGGACCTCACGCGAAATTAAAAATTTCTTTTTTCAAAATGGTCGAAATTTTACGCTGATTTCAAAAATGATTGTCGTTTTTTTCGGAAACGTCCCGTTTTCCCGGAAAATGGGAAAAACGGGAAAAATATTTTTTGCTCAAAACCCATGTTGTGGGTACTCAAATTATGCGGAATTTCCTCCTGGACAAGAATATGTAAATTGTATTACGATCGGACCACTATTAAGTAAAATATCACCGAAAAACGGGAAAACGGGTAATTTTTTTTTTTGCTCAAAACCCATGTTGTTGGTACTCAAATTGTGCGGAATTTCATCCTGAACAAGAATATGTAGTTTTTATTACGATCGCTTTTAAGTAAAACATCACCGGACAGGTTAACTAACCTAACATAACCTAACTTAGGTTTAAATTAGGTTAGGTTAGGTTAGGATAGGTTAGTTTAGGTTAGGTTAGGTTAAGTAAGGTTAGGTTAAGTTAGGTTAGGTTAGGTTAAGTTAGGTTAGGTTAGGATAGGTTAGTTTAGGTTAGGTTAGGTTAAGTAAGGTTAGGTTAAGTTAGGTTAGGTTAAGTTAGGTTAGGTTAGGATAGGTTAGTTTAGGTTAGGTTAGGTTAAGTAAGGTTAGGTTAAGTTAGGTCAGGTTAAGTTAGGTTAGGTTAGGTTGGTTTAGGTTAGGTTAGGTTAAGTTTGGTTAGATTAGGTTAGCTTAGGTTAGTTTACTTACAATACTCACCTATTCTAACCTATCCTAACCGATCGCTTTTAAGAAAAATATCACCGGACAGATTAACTAACCTAACATAACCTAACTTAGGTTTAGATTAGGTTAGGTTAGGTTAGGTTAGGATAGGCTAGTTTAGGTTAGGTTAGGTTAGGTTGGGTTAAGTTAGGTTAGGTTAGGTTGGTTTAGGTTACCCTAGGTTGAGTTTTGATAGGTTAGATTAGGTTAAGTTAGGTTAGGTTAGGTTAGGTTTAGTTAAGTTAGGTTAGTTTACTTACAATACTCATGTTATTGAATAACTAACCCAGCCTAACCTAACTTACGAACTTAGGTTAGGTTAGGATAGGTTAGTTTAGATTAGGTTAGAATAGGTAAGTATTGTAAGTAAACTAACCTAAGCTAACCTAACATAACCAAACTTTACCTAACCTAACCTAAACCAACCTAACCTAACCTAACTTAACCTGACCTAACCTAACTTAACCTAACCTAACCTAACTTAACCTAACCTTACTTAACCTAACCTAACCTAAACTAACCTATCCTAACCTAACCTAACCTAATTTAAACCTAAGTTAGGTTATGTTAGGTTAGTTAACCTGTCCGGTGATGTTTTACTTAAAAGCGATCGTAATAAAAACTACATATTCTTGTTCAGGATGAAATTCCGCACAATTTGAGTACCCACAACATGGGTTTTCAGAAAAAAAAATTCCCCGTTTTCCCGTTTTTCGGTGATATTTTACTTAATAGTGGTCCGATCGTAATACAATTTACATATTCTTGTCCAGGAGGAAATTCCGCATAATTTGAGTACCCACAACATGGGTTTTGAGCAAAAAATATTTTTCCCGTTTTTCCCATTTTCCGGGAAAACGGGACGTTTCCGAAAAAAACGACAATCATTTTTGAAATCAGCGTGAAATTTCGACCATTTTGAAAAAAGAAATTTTTAATTTCGCGTGAGGTCCGGAGGTCGATATAATTACCGCCTAGTAATCAATATTTTAAACTCAATAGTTTCATTCGATATTAGCATAGCCCAGTTAAGAAACTGTACCCAAGGGTCTCACTATGCAAGGCTAAAGAGCTTAAACATAATTTAGAATTGGCTAACTAAGTTAAACATTCTTACTTATTTAAACATCCACGTCAAAAATTAACTACAGCTTGCTTTAACTTATCGAGGTTAAGCAATAGGCCTACCTTTGCCTGGCCCTGGGCCTCTTCTTTTTTGGTTTTTCCATACTTTCAGGATCTCCGTTGGAGTTGGAAACTGCAGTAGACGTGGTTGGAGTAAAGCATAGTCCAGGATTCATTAAACTTGAGCTTGGACTGCAAACCAAGACACTTCCCTGACTTCTGTCTGAATCCATTGAAGACTGTACCTTAACTATTAGCTTAGTAGCTTAGTTAGCTTTGATCCAGCTATCTGAACTAGCGATCTTTCAAAATTGATTTGTAGGCCCAACTGTACAATCTTAACTTTCAAAAATTGCCAAGATGCAACACAGAACTTGTACAATCGTAAGCCCAAAAGGGGTTTGAAATGTTTTTTAATTAACAAGTGATAAGATTATGAAATCACTCAAAAATGTTAACAGATCAAACAAATCGCGTAGTCTCAGTTATGCAGCCTAAAGCCTGAACAAAAAACCTTGGTAAAAATGTATCAATGAAATGTTACACTTCACTTCAATTACAATACACTGCTGGTGCTAGGGTTATAGAATAATATAATCAGAAGCAGAAGAACCAGAAACCAGAAACTAAACAGACAATATGGTGCAATTTTTGACATTTCATTTGGGACAAGAAAAAATAGGTTTGAGGTTACAATATAAAATAAAAAGAGTTAAAAAATGAGTTACGAGGACGGGTTGATGATCGGTGGGGCACACGGGAGGGACTAAGGCTAACATATCTTGTAGTGTCAGCGTTCGCCGCTAGGACTGCTAAGTTGAAACAATTTAAATTAATTTTTTATTTTTTATTTTTTGTTATAAAATTAACTTTTTAATTATAAAATATTGTTTAAAATTATAAAATAAATTTTTAATTTTTAAAATTAAACTGTCATAACATAACCTAACCAACCAGACTTGCTGATAATATAAAACTATATAAGATAAAAATCTAATTAATGATTACTTATAATTTTTATTTAATTATAAAATTAATTTTAAAATTTAGTATTATAAAATTAAACTGTCATAACCTAACCTAACCAACCAAACTTGCTGATATGAAAAATTTGTTGACAAAAAGTTAATGCTGCCAGTGGGTTTCGAACCCCAGACCTCCTGAACACCAATTCGAAACGCTACCAACTTTGCCACGAACGCCGCTGAAATCCCATCGTTTCGTTACGGTAATCGTGTTGCCTCAAGAGAAGGCATTAACCACTAGAGATATGACGTCAGCTCTACACCTTTAGCCTTAGTCCCTTCCGTGTGCCCATTCCGTTGACGATCATGGAGCATATACACAACAAACAGAATTACTCATGTAACCAGAAAAGTGTGGAACTTGTGGAACGATATATCTGTAATTGAAATTCTGTATTTTTAACTGTGTAAATGGTGAATCCGCTTGGCAATCACTTTCCCTAACTCACCTAAAACGTTCTATAAGACGTGTTTAAACTGTTCCTAGACACCAACTTACCAACACTAATTTTCTTAAATTACTTTTTTGTCGCCGAGGCTTCCTGTTGGCACCACACCTAGATTACCAGACACCACGCTAAAAACTCTCATAAACATCGTGACAGGGCAGTTTCTTAAACTAGACACCACCTCACCAAGATTTCTAGATACCACGCCCAGATTACTAGATACCATTACCTAGATTGACCTAACCGTAATCTAGGCGTGATGTCTAGTAATCTTTGTAATGGTGTCTAGTAATCTAAGTATTGTGTCTAGTAAATTAAGCTCGGAGTCTAGTAATCTGGGCGTGGTGTCTAGTAATCTTGGTGAGGTGTGTAGTAGTAAACTGCACTGTCACGATGTTTAAGCGAGTTTTTCAAGGGTGGGTGTCTAGTAATCTAGGCATAGTGTCTACAGGAAGACTCGGAGACCAAAAAATCATTTGAGAAAGTTGTAGTGTAGGTGTCTAGGAACAGTTAAAAAACGTCTTATTGGACATTTTAAATGAATTGGAGAAAGTGGATAATAACCATAAAGGTAAAGTTAACTAACTTTTAGCAATTGAAAAAAAAAATAAACGAGATTATGAGTTTATCGAGGTATTACATTGTTTAGAAGTAAATTGTGAACTATTTTTGTTTCAGTAAATTATTATTAATGCAATAATTTGCAAAAATTAATTTGCACTGTGTTGGATATCGTTTTCTAATGCCATCAAATTTGTATTTTCTTTACGTATCGGTGTATTGCCGGTTTTAAATACAGTTAAATAAATTGTAAGCTTTTCCCACATTAGACTATTTTGTAAATCAACCCTGTGAATGTTGTTGGCTCATACATGACGATTTGAAACTAGCTCAAACTTACAAAATTATACAGTGTAGGTTTTCACTTACTCAACCAATCCATTGTAAAAGACTGAATGAACTAATTGTGAAATAACTATACATGATGGATCCTAGATTTGTCAGAGAATTGTCCCTCCCGCCAACAGATTAATTTTCGCCCCTATATGAGCACACCTTTGCAAGCTTCTGGTCAGGATAGAGCCGCCAGACTAGACCACACAATTCAACCATGTAGATGTTTCTAATAGCAGATGAATATGTATATATTTTTTTTAAATTTTGTCTAAGTTGATTGGTAACTATGTTGAACCTTATTCCTCTTTAGAGCTCAGTTTGGGGAATGAGCCCCTGACATTTTTTACTGTACCATCATTACTGTATCATTCTATTCTACTGTCCATTATGTGAAAAAATAAGCTCAACAATATCATCAAAACTAACCCATAATAACTCTTTTTGTAGATCTCAAATCTATATCTAATCATATACAAATAGCTATCAAATATATCTCTATTATATCTAACGACCATAAAAACTCCTGATTTCTATTAAATTTGCACTAATAATGTTATATCGATAAAAGTACACATTTTGTGCATATTCCATTACATTTCACATACTCAAAATGAACAACTTCCAAGGTATAAAATAAGCGAGAATGAGTAGGATAAGTTTATTTATACATTTAACATTAAAATTGTTCATCTGTTGCTGCGGCTGGTGGTTCGGAGTTGCTTTTCTATTTCAAACTGTCTAAGGTCTGTCCGTTGCAAAAAGTCTTGTCTTTCTAAGTACCTGTAAGTAAAAAGAATAAGTTACTTAGTATGTCAAAAATGAAATGGTTAATGCAGAGTGTGCAGAGTGCAATAAAATGTATGCAAGAGTAAGTAAATATTTGGGAAATTGGGGGCCTTACAGCCCCTAGGATATGCCAAAATCCTAGGACTGTCAGACTGAGTTGAGGGGTGCTACAATCCTATATATAATACGAGTAAAGTTTGAATAATTGTTACTTCGATCTGGGAATCGGCTCTAACAAAATAAAAACGTTTATATTAACGGAATAACTAAGTTCTGGGTCAAAAATAAGTTCTAGACCAGTGGTATAGCCAGGAAAAATCTATTTTCGCCATAATATGAGTACAAACATTTGAAAATTTAACATGGGCCTTATGAGAAAACATTCCGGCATTGTTGTAATTTTGTTTACATTTTAAGATATAACTTGACGTTCTGTACCCACGGGCACCTTAGCTTGCGCATGCGCAGAAGTTCTCTATCCACAGTATACTAGCAAAACAAAATACAGTACAAAAGGAAAAACATCAGTTGTTACTATTAAGCAAAGATTAAACTGAACTCGATACATAGTAGTCAAGGGTAGCAGTGTGGAGTGTGGGATATGTTTATGATGATTAGTTTACGGTATCTGAAATTTTAAAATGCAATGTAAAGGGAGGGAAACAGGTCCGTGACGTAGGAAGTGATGAAGGAAGTAGTTAAAGGTGAGCAGTCTGGAGTGTGGGAACTGTTTACGACGATTAGATTAAGTTATCTGCAATCCTAAAATGCTATGGGAAGGGAGGGAAACAGGTCCGTGACGTAGGAAGTGGTAAAGGAAGTAGTCAAGGCGAGTAGTCTGGAGTGTGGGAACTGTTTATGATGATTAGATTAAGGTATCTGCAATCTTAAAATGATATGGGAAGGGAGGGAAACAGGTCCGTGACGTAGGAAGTGATGAAGGAAGTAGTTAAAGGTGAGCAGTCTGGAGTGTGGGAACTGTTTACGACGATTAGATTAAGATATCTGCAATCTTAAAATAATATGGGAAGGGAGGTTAACAGGGCCGCGACGTAGGAAGTGGCGAAGGAAGTAGTCAAAGCGAGTAGTCTGGAGTGTGGGATCTGTTTATGACGATTAGATTAAGGTTTCTGCAATCTTAAAATGCTATGAGAAGGGAGGGAAAAAGGTCCGCGACGTCGGAAGTGGTGAAGGAAGTAGTAAAGGTGAGCAGTCCGGAGTTCGGGAACTGTTTATGACGATTGGATTAAGGTATCTGCAATCCTAAAATGCTATGGAAAGGGAGGGAAACAGGTCTGCGACGTAGGAAGTGGTGAAGGAAGTAGTAAAGGTGAGCAGTCCGGAGTGCGGGAACAGTTTATGACGATTGGATTAAGGTATCTGCAATCTTAAAATGCTATGGGAAGGGAAGGAAACAGACCCACGACGTAGGAAGTGGTGAACGAAGTAGTAAAGGCGAGCAGTGTGGAGTTTGGGATTGGATTAATGTATCTGCAATACTAAGACTGCTTTCATATTAAACTAATGATTTTACCTGAGCAAAGCTCGGTCCCCAGGTACTAGGTCAATAGACTGAAGTAGCAAGAGGTAGATTAAGACCCTTAAACACCCCCAACACAAAAAAAAGAGTAAAAAAGTTAATATTTTTCTACAGCTAAAATTATGTCAATATCATGAATTTTTGCAATTACGTACATAAATGTTGACCAACCCTTTAACCATTTATTTCATGAAGATCTATTTCAAGCGACTAAGGTGATCAAATTTTAAAAATTGTCCTTGATCGTATTAGTTTTTTATTACCCATAATGGTATTTGGCATCAAATATCTAAACTAAGTCACCATTTTTATGGTTCAAGAGTTATTATTCAAATTTTGCACAAATTTAGCAGCTAATAGGATGAACATTTTCACAGAATCTCAACGCTGTAGCTCAAACTGTTAAGGAGTTGTGAATGTTTTTGAAAAAGACATAGAAACGCTAAAAATGCAGAGATAGAACAAATGTTTATATTCTTTTTTGTTTATTTTGGCCCGAGGTATCACTAAGTAAATTGTGTCTCCACCATTTTTGAGCACACTGTATTATATATGAATTTTGATGGATGATGTTTTTGGCCTTGGGGAACTTAAAGATCACAAAGTATTTTGAATAAAAACGGAAAATCGCTAAACAGTAAAATAAGACTACTAACATTTATTTTCTTTATTATAATATACTCTCTGAAGGATTCTTATCAATGTGAGGTTATGTGATATTTTAATGAACATCTATAAACCCCCAAACTTTGATCTTCTCAGGTAAGTAAGCTTAACTCTAAAATTTCACCCCTCTTTCTCTATAACAACTCGATACAACAATCAACACACTATACAATGTGCTCTTGTGTTTTCCTTCTCTATAACCAACTTAAAGTTACATACCCTTCTTTTCCCTTATTGTGTGTTTGAATCTCAGCCTCAATGCCTTCGTCCTTTTTGAACCTGTCCCAGTCCA